TTTGCCTCTCCTGGGCGGACCTGATGGCCTTCCGGATCTCCTCAACGGTCGCAGCGGTACTCTGAACAAAATTCGGTCTCGTAATCCTCCTCTCTCCAACCTCATCCCAATACAGAGGGGTCCGGACCTTACGTCCGTATAAAGCCTCGTATGGGACCATCTTCGTAACACCCCGGACTAAAATTATATTAGTAGCTCGACTTATTTATCGAAATTAGTATTATTTTAATTATGCAGAGAATTATTAATATAAATTGCATATTTATTTATTTTCAAGCCCAAGTAGTATTTTAAATAATCGAGCCTAATAGCAATTATATATCCGAGCCCAAGTCGTTAAAAATCGAGCCCAATCTATTAGGCCCGATACTAAGCCCAATAAGAGCGAAACCCTAAGCTCTCCACCCTCCTATAAATATCATGTCTCCTTGTCCCCCAACAATCCAACACAAAACCCTAGCCCCCCAAGAGCACTATTCATTGTCTTCTACATTCAATATCAGATCCAAGCAAAAAACACCTTCATTTTCAAAGATCTAGTCCAAAAATCCACAACATTTTTCAAGATTTAGCATTTAATCCCCAAGATCCACCATGGCTTGACCAATTATCCGGCGACCAGCTCCGGCGTCAAGCTTTCCGCCGTTGTTGTCATCTTCCCCGAGCTCATCCCGTCACCACCATCTCCGGCGACAGCAAGCTCGCGTCCAGATCCTCACCTCGGGCCTGCGACCCGCTCAGCCCGCAGCTCGAGCCAAACACAGTCGCAGCTCAAGACCCGACCAAACCCGCAGCTCTCCAGCCCCGTTTTTCCGGCGAGTTCGCGACCTTCCCGGCGAGCTCGAGACCACGTCCAGGCAAGCCGTACACGTCGTCATCTTCCCCAGCTCGCGTCTTCACGGCGAGGCCCAGCTCCGGCGACCATTCTGCCTCCGTGCAGATCCACGACGAGTTCACCATCGGCCTTAGCTCGCACCAGCGCCATCCTCAGCTCAGACCCGACGAGCCACCAGCATCCCAGCACCCTCCTTAGCTCAGACCCGAACCAGCAGCTCCACCACACCACAGCGACCCGAACAGCAGCCCAGCTCCTCAGATCTGCGACTCTCGGCCCAAAAACCGAGCCCATAGCCTAGATCTGAGTACACCCGAGCACAACCGGGCCGTTTCCTAGCCATTTTAATTTTTCCGACTTCCGATTTGAACCTTTTGAGAGGTATATCTGCTTAAACCTTACTCCATGAGCTTAATCAAATATTTAGATGAATTTTAAAATTTACGGGAGGTGATTTCGAGTATTATAAGATTTATGGTGAATTTATCGGCTTAAATGACATTAAATTCTGTAAATATTGTCTGCTGCCCGGAAAAATGCAAAACTAGCGTGATAAAATTCGTATAGCTGACTTGAGGCCTAGGTTTTAATTTCGTAATTTTTGGTGCCCATTTAGTATGTTAACTAGATTTTTGAATATGTAGCAGAAATGCCCGATTTTTGATAAATATGATAAAGACCTCGAAATTCGATGCAACTTTCACGAAAAATCTTATAAATGCTGAGTATGACGTGGTTTAAATTTCATAATTTTTAGAGGTTGTTTGGCATGCCTACAAATTCGAGACTTTAGATGTTTTGGTAAAAACCCTAGAATTTATCCGGTTGAGATTTAGCTAAAATCACTAGAAATCACGTTGAACTTAAAGTTTGAGTTTTGACTTGAACCGAGATAGATAGCCGGTTGAGTAGAGAACCCTAGTTTGGCCTTTTTCGGTCAGTCCGGATGAACTCTAGATCCGAGTAGAAAAGTTGTGCGTCGGCTGATGTCGTGTCCGTGCGTATGTACCCGGACCATGATTAAGTCGAGTTGTACCCAGTCAGAGAAATAAGATCAGATCAGCCAGATAAGTTAGATGAGATAAATCAGACAAGCAGACCAGACTTAGAAATATTTCAGAGAACTCTAGAATGCCTCAAGTCAACAAATCTTTTCAGAATAGCTCAAAGCATCTAAATCCGGATTAAATGATATTTTAATCGAGCGAGAGAACCGAGTAAGATCTATTAATAATAAGAATCAAGTTTTTATTTGAGCTTGGTACTTAGTACATTTTGCTCAAATATTTATGTAGCTTAAGGAGAGTCGAGCCTCCGACAGCTACCAGTCAGTCAGCACTTGCCTAGCAGTAGCAGTTTATCAGGTGGGGGTCACGTACTGGTTATACATCATCTTTAATTTCCGTACCATGTCCGAGGTATGTATGAGAAATAGTTAGATCATCATGAGGGAGGCCGTGGCGGGCCTTAATGATCCCCCGTGATTCTGAGGGAGGCCTTAGTTGGCCTTAATGATCCCCCGGAGTGTGTACATGATTGGCTTTTAAGCCCCAGGGTCTTTATGACCACCAGATGCCCTAGTTACAGTTTCAGTTCAGATCAGTTCTTATATACTTAAAGTCATGATATTGTTATTAACGATGTTATATAATTAAGTACTGGTCTTTGCGGAGCATAGCGGTTTTGCTCACGCC